CAATTTTGAAGGGGGAAAAGCCCAGTAAAATGCTTTCCTATTTGATTTATGTCCAACTTTTGAGGCCCAATAGCCTCTCAGTTGCTGATTACTCATCTTCTTCCTTGATGCTCTTTTGATGAATCTGTGGTCTATTACTGCAGATACTCCCTCCAGGGATACTGATCACAGCCCATCCATGTCCTCTCATCATATGCAAACCTTGTTCATACCCTCTCTGATAGCCCCCATAAGGAATCTACCCAAGTTTCTAGGGGTCCTTTGCCTGGTTCTCTCAGCTTTATGCAGATGCCTGTGTAGTATACAGGCTGTCGTTATCCATCCCTCATTCTTGCTGTGTGACTGGCCCATCTTCTTTCCTAGTCATACATGTCTCTGATGCTATCCTTTACATGGCTTCTCTTGAGTGATTTTTGATTCATGTGTGTTGTAACCTGCTCATGCCCACCATGCATCTTTCTCTTCCCACTTTGGTTCACCCTCAACTTTATTTCTTGGGCCACTGAGATACTCCCTGACTCACATCTCTCCAGCATCACCCAAAGACTGCTAAACAAATGCTGTATTTTTTACTTAACATAGTTAACTGGCAGTCAGTCAACTAGTATTTATTAAGCACTGACTCTGTTCTAGGCACTGGGCTAAGCACAAGACCCCATATAGGGATTTCACCTATTCTCTGCTCTGTACTTGATTCTTTGAGGTTTTCTCTCACAGGTGTTTGCTGAGTCTTTTAAAACAAGTTCTATGTAACTTTGATCAGCAGATTCATGGCTAATGTGGAAATATGTTTTGCATGACTTCATATGTATAACAGGTATCATATTTCTTGCCTTCTCAATGGATGGAAGGAAGGGAGCAAATTCACAACCAAATATAAAATTTTTTTAATTAAATTAAATTTTTGTCTAAAAAAAAAAAAAAAGAAAAGAAACTGACCAGGAGCGCAAATCTTGCATTTGCTACCCTCTATGTTGTCAGCTATTCTCCTGCTCCTCAAATGTGTATTGAAAGATGTGCTAATGAGAGTTTTTTTGCAACTTCTTTTTTTCTGTTTTTGAATTTAATAATGTAGTTAAAATATTTCATAGTATAATCAACCTGTTGCCAACATTGTCTGCAGGCCTTTTCAAGAATACGGACACAGATTTTTGTTGCTTCCTCTTTTTCATGTTCTTGTGTGGAAAAGACTTTCAATGGTGGGAGCGGGGAGAGGATTTTTTCTCAGTTTGTTTTCTTAAACCATTGTATCTGGGCCAAGCTGTTGTACTCCCAACTCTTCCTGCTGCTCACTTTTAGAGTGAAATCATAAATGCTTGAAAATGGGACTTTATAGTGGAAATTCAAGAGCGCAAGAAATGCAGCTATATGGACAGCAGGCCCAATCTTCAAGGAAGCAGTGAAGAAAAAAGGATCTTCCCATGTTCTGGGAAGGAGGCATACATTGCTGTCATTCTCACACCACTTTGGAAAGACACATTCCATGGGGTTGGCTGTGTCACACTGAATAGGAGAGATGGTTCTTGGGATTGTGGTTTAATTTACAGCATCTCCAACAATTTGAGATGCTGTTTTCATCCCAGTACTGTTTGTCTTCATTTCTGCATTCTCTTTATCCTCTTTATTATTTACTCCTGGTCGATCAGTCACAGAAAAAGCTGAAGAGTTTTCATTTCCAAAGATTAGAGAATGCTTTAGTGATATTTGGTATTGTTAAAGGTACCTCCAGAAAATTCAATTTAAATTAGTAAACATTTATTAAAAGCCTATTGCGTGAAAAGCATAGGGTGGAACCTTCTGTTTAAAAGTGAAGCCATCAAGGTGGAAGGATGAGTGGTTTTTCCTTTTCCTTACTTTATACTTTATTTACAATAAACTCTCTCTTACCAATCCAATATCCCCTTGCTTCAATTTTCTCCTTCCTTTCCCTACTTTTAAGTCTCAACTTGTTCACCTACCATTTCATAGCCTATAAACTTAACATAATTACTTCCACTTGTGGAAAGCTCTAACTACCCACCTTCACTGTCTACCTTTTAAGATGGGATAGGATAGGGCAGAACATTAGGGACTCCTCCATTAGGGAGGAAGGGAGGGAGGGAGGAAGGGAGGAAGTAAGGAGAAGGAAGGAAGAAAAGAAAGAAAGGAAAAAAGGAAGGAAAAGAAGGAAAGGAAAGGAAAAGAAGGAAGGAAAGAAAAAAGAGGAACGAAAAAAGAAAGGAAGGAAGAAAAGAAAGGAAGAGAAGGAAGGGAGAAATGAATTTAAAGTGGATCCAAGAGAAGAAGCTAAAATGTTTTCATTTTACAACTAGGGAAGGAAGGAAGAAAAGAAGTATAGTAACCCTCATTTCAATTGTCTATCTTACAGAAACTTATGGAGACTATTACTATCTTTTTGAGAGTCAGATAAGAGTTCAGATATCATTACTATAACTTCAAAAGATGAAGTAGACTGTTGGGAGTAAAAGTAGTTTTGTATTAGAAATTGGGGAGAGTCCATTGAGAAATATTTTACTATAAATTTGGTTAAGAAAATGGCTTAATTTGAAGTGCCTCTCCCTATTGAATCAGGAAATAAAAAGTGTGTGCTTTCTCTCGGATCCATGAGGATCTACTGATGACTTGGTGAAGAACAGGGAGGGAGAGTGTGAAAGTGACAATTGAGAATATGGTTTGATATGAAGTATTTTTCCCCAGGGGGTGATGAAGAATGTGTGTATTTTATCTGTGATCCATGAAGAAGTTAAGGCAAAGAGAAAGAAAGTGAGGATGTATTTCTTTCTTGTGAGAACTATATTTAGGGTCATTTTAAGAAGAAAACATAGGAAGTGAAGTTCCATGAACCTAGAAGAGCGTTCTATGAAGAGCTTGAAGAAACTAAAAGGCTGTGATTACTGAAGAGAAAACAATGATAGAGGACTAGTCCTAAGGAAACATATTAGGAGGATGCTTAAAAGACTTTAATCATTATCTAGAATGAGTTGGATGATTTCCGAAGAGGAGTCAACTACTGATATATGAGGGTTTGAGAAGGGTCAGACTGTGACTAAGTATAATAGCCAAAATAGTTCAAAGTTATGTATGCCTTTATGTTTATTATTAATTCCATTTATTAGTAAATTAAATATGTATATACATATATAAAATATTATGTAATTTTAATGTTTAATTATGGATGTTTCGTTTATTCAGTCATGCTTGACTTTTTGTGGCCCTATTTGGGGTTTTCTTGGCAAAAATCCTGCAGTGGTTTGCCTTGTCCTTCTCATTTTACAGATGAGGAAACTGAGGCAAACAGCATTAAGTGACTTGCCCAGAGTCACAGAGCTAGTAAGTGTCAGAGGCCAGATTTGAACTCAGGAAGCTGAATCTTCCTGATTCTAAGCCAGGTGATCTACTTACTGTGCCATCTAGCTGCTCGTAATTATGGACAAGTAAAAGTAATGACTGTTGGAGAAGGGTTTCCCATCTCATTAAATAATTAATATTTAATTAATTGGAGCATAGGCTCAAGCTAATTAGTTAATTGATGGCTTCCTTATGACTCAACTAAGATCCCATCTTCTAGAGGAACACCTTCCCAAACCCTGTTAATTCCAGTGTCTTCCTTCCATTAACTATTTCCTCTTTATCCTGTATGTAGTTTGTTTGTATATACTTGTTTGTTTTTTGTCTTCTCTATTGGATTTTAAGCTCCTTGGTGGTAAGCATATCTTTCATTTCTTTTTGTATCCCCAGTGCTTAACTCAATGCCTGGCACACAGTAGGTGCTTAATTAATGTTTTTCATTGACTAATTGAGGTGGCAAGTTTATTAACAATAAATAAAACATTGTGACATATTCCAAAATTATTGTCAAGTTCAAGAATATAAAAGCAATGAGTCAAGTGGCAAGCTGAGACTGGGTGACCTGTAAATGAATATGATCACACTCAAAGCTTGATTTTAACTTGCTGTTAACTTGCTAAGGGTATTGCCTTCCTC